GAATTGCTCCTGCTTCTGTATATATATATATTATTCATATCATCTAAGTGATTAAAGTGATACACATATTTTCGTACTTGGGTAAAGTGGTGGGAATGTAAAAACTGATGTTAAGGTGTTAGATATGTGAATATTTAAAAATGGGGGTTTGCATGTAGGTCTCCTAGGGGCATTTACATAAATATCACTCAATCTTTATGAATTTGCATATCTAATTTGGGGGACTCTAGATTTTTTTCTAAGAGAGCACTTTATTTCCCGCTCTTTAGGTCTTCCACTAAAAATTTATGTGATCTTCATACGGTCCGATCCGGACCGTAAATCAGGTGATTTACGGTCATGATGTATTTCAATGGGCCCAACCTAAATTTTTTTTTTAACTGAAATATATCCTGACCGTAGATCATCGTGATCTGCGGCCAGAATCGGACACCGCATGCAGAGATGCATGCGGTGTCCGCACGAATACATAAATCTATTTTTTTACAAATATACCACTCATATCATTCATTTCACATCGAAATTATTGACCTTTTAATTTTTAAAGGTGCAATTCACATTTTCATGTAAAAATTGAAGTATAGATGTTAAATATGCGAATGCATATAAATTGAGGGGCACGTATGTAAACCTTTTTAATTTTTAAATTTATCGATTTAATTAAGTTCAGGGACACGTTATTGGATTAAAAAGTAGTATTTAATAAGAATTGGTTAGCGGAATCAGCAATATTAATGTTCTCACATGGATCGATAAGTTATGGCTGGACTGGTTAATCCTATATGATTTTTCTACGATATGATTGGTAGAAATCGTAGAAAACATAGGCCATAGATTCATAACTGCCACAAAATTTGAATTTTCATGAAGCGATGTTGAAAGTGGTCCGGGTGGTGGAATTAATTATTTTGTCCTTTTATTGGTAAATGTGACTCATGTTGTGGTATATTGAAATAGAATAAAATGATCGACGATAAAGTGAAAAATGGAACGAGAAAATTCACGCCAGAAAAGAACACACAAATTCACGGAGTTGTAGAGGATTTTATTGCTTGAGGAATTTACACCAGTTGATAACTACAGGATCTCTCACTTGCTCTCACTCTCTTTACAACGAGATTCACCCAAGAGCAAGAACACCGAAGAAGAAAAAATACGTACAAGAGAAAAAACCTATTTCTCTTCTGCCGCAAGCCAACAAGAATAAATAAAAAAGAGCAACATTCTTCTTCCACTATCTTCTTCTTTCTTCTGCCAAGCTTGCAAAAAACAACACCTTGCAAAAAGACACTTGTCGAAGAGGAATATCTAGGGAGTGACGATTTTTCCCTCTCGATCAAACCACCAGACCTTCAGCAAAGTCACGTAGAGGGAGAAGGGAAGCGGCTTTCTATTTCGCGAGCGAGAGACGAAGAAGTGGGAGGCGCGGCTTTCCTGTTTCGCAAACTGAAAAAGGCAGTGACGTGTTTCGCGAATCGAGAGCGGGAGTCGGGTGCAAGTAAGTTATTGTTTTTATTTTTTTATTTGCTTCGTGTAACTATCTCATCACTAACAAATCTCTCACTTGAAGACTGGTACAAAGACTACAACGTATTCTTCTTCAAACTGATATCCTCCACTGGTGGCATCGCCATTCTCTTCAAACATGAATCCTCCACCTCTGCAACTCAAGGCCTCTATCTTCGAGCTAGAAGACTAACTGAAGTTGAGCACAACTTCAGTTTCTCCAGAGTAACACCCTTTTGTCAACATATCAGCAGGGTTCTGGCTTCCACAAATTTTCTCAAGCAACAACTGTCAGTCATCCAACAATGACCGTATGAAGTGTATGAAGTGATACTTGATGATACTTGATCTGAATGTGCTTAGTCCTGGACTGAAATGTTGGATTCCTGGCAAGGAATATGACCCTCTGACTATCACTGTAAAAAATGTCCTTCTGATTCTTCTTGCCCAATTCCTCTAAGAAGCCCTGTAGTCATATCATCACCTTTGCAGCCTCTGACATTATTATATACTTAGCTTCTGTAGTAGAAAACAAAACTATTTTCTGTAGATTAGAGCCCCATGACACTGCATTGCCACCAAAAATATAAATATAGCCTGCAGTACTTCTTCTGGTATTAATATCTCCTGCTAGATCGGCATCAACATAGCCATGTACCTATGTACTCTTTCCTGAGAAACACAAGTAAGTTTCTGCAGAGCCTCTTAGGTACCTTAAGATCCACTTCACTGTTTCCCAATGTTTCTTTCCTGGATTACTCATGTATCTGCTAATAACTCCCGTTGCATGGGCAATATCAAGTTCGGTTCAAACCATAACATACATAAGTGAACCAATAACTGAAGCATAAGGAACCTTACTCATGTGATCTCGTTCCTCCTCTGACTTAGGTGACTGATTCTTGCTGAGTCTGAAGTGACTTCCCAAGGGTGTGCCAACTGCTTTGGTCTTATCCATGTTGAACCTGCTAAGTACCTTTTTCACATATTAAGCTTGAGAGAGTCTCAACATGTCCCTGACTCTATCTCTGACAATTCTCATACCAAGGATTTGCTTTGCCGCTCTCAAATCCTTCATTGCAAGTGCTTTGACATTTGCTCCTTCAGATTATTGATCTTTTCAATACTAGCACCTGCAATAAGCATATCATCCACCTACAGCAGTAGGATGACATAGGAATTGTCAAAATACATAACATAACAACAATGATCTGTCTGACATCTGTTGTACCCTGCACTGTGCATGAAATTATCAAATTTCTTGTACCACTGTCTAGGAGCTTGCTTCAGTCCATACTCCATACAAGCTCTTCTGCTCTTCTTCAATCTGCAAACTAACTCTTCCTTTCCCTGTACCAAGAACCCTTCAGGTTGGTGCATGTAGATTTCTTCTTCAAGATCCCCATGAAGAAAGGTTGTCATCACATCTAATTGCTCAAGGAAGAGATCTTTAGTAGTCACCATAGACAGTATCATTCTGATAGTTGTAAGCTTCACCATAGAAGAGAAAATCTCGAAATAATCAATATTGTGCTTCTGCTAGAAACTCTTTACAACAAGTCTAACCTTGTATCTCTTACTGTCATCATACTCAGTCTTCACCCGGTACACCCACTTGTTGTGTAATGCATTCTTCGCAGATGGAAGGTATGTCAACTCCCAAGTCTGATTTTCTAGCAGAAAATCTATCTCCTCCTTCATGGCAAGGCAAGCTCCCACTTGCTCAACGCTTGTTAAAATTTTTATCTTGCAAGGTTTCTTCATAACTCTGAGGTTGTCCACCATTTGTCAGCAGAATGTAGTTCAAAGTCATAGAATAACACTGTGGAGAATGTTTAGCTCTTTCTGACCTGCGAACTGCAACTGTAGGGGTAGACTGCTCTGAAACATACAGTGGAATAATAGGAGTGGATGCCCCGGATCCACTCTTCTTGTCACCTGCATCTCTGCCCTACACAGTGACTTATGGTAAATCATCAAATATTACCAACTCAGATTCCTGCAGTGTTGTTTCAGAAATTCTATTGGACTTATCCTTGTACATAACCTTCTCATTGAAAATCACGTTCCTGATCCTTATGATCTTCCGACCCTGATCATCCCAAAAACGATATCCAAATGTCTCATCTCCATAGCCAATGAAATATTACCTCTTTCACTTAGCCTCAAGCTTATTTCGAGCATCAGGATTAATGAGAATATAAGAAAGACATCCAAAGTCTTACGGTGAGAAAATTTGACCTCTTTCCCACTCCAGACTTCTTCAAGTAATTCACAGTTTACTGGAACAGATGGCTCCATGTTGATCAAATAAACTGCAGTACTGATCGCTTCTGCCTAGAAAGTAGGTAGTCTGGCGTACAATTTCATGCTTCTAGCCCGCTCATTAATGGACTTGTTCATGCGCTCTGCAACACCATTTTGTTGTGGTGCCCCTAGAGTGGTCTTCTCCATTTCAATACCCTGAGTTGCATTGAACCCATCATCAATGTACTCACCACCATTATCAGACCTCAGACATTTCTGCTTTAAGCATGTCTTTGTCTCAATCATGGCCTTCCAAGTCTTGAATATACAGAATACAACAAATTTATACTTCAAGAAATAAACCCATACCTTTCTACTATGATCATTAATGAATGTGACGTACTAACGAGAGTCTCTAAGAGATGTCACTGGAGAAGGTCCCCACACATCTGTCTGTACATGATCAAGTTTTCATGCCTTGCCACCTTTCAAGAAACTGACATTCCTTTGTTTCCTGTAATGCAACTCTCACAGATGCTGAGATCAACTGACTTTTGTTCTGGTAGCTTACCTCTGGGCTGAAGTTCTTTCATACATCTTCGACTCATGTGGCCAAGTCTGTAATGTCATAACTCTGTTGTTCTCTCTACAACAGTAGTATCAACACTGCTAATTAAACAAGTAGTCATATATAGCGTACATGTTTGCTTACCCCAAGCTAGTATCAATGCTCATTTAGTAACCTTCTAGGTGCTATCTGAGAACACTATTGTATGTCCACACTCATCAAGTTGTCCAACATAAATGAGGTTCTTCTTCAGTTCAAGAATTTTTCTGACCTTTTACAGAGACCACTTGTTCTTATTTGGAAGTGCAATGTCAATATCTTACATTCCTACCACGTTCAAAGCTTCTCCATCTGCTAGATATACTTTCCCAAAATCACCTGCAACATAATTCCGCATCAATTCCCGATGGAAAGTTGTATGAAAAGAAGCTTCCGAATCCAGTATCCAGTCATTAACAGAACTATG